GTAAGTCATTTTCAGCAATTACAACAGCTGACAGCTGTTAAAATATTCGATTAGTAGTGTATCCACTACTAAACGCTGATAGTTACAAACACACATACATATTTCCCTGCTTCACTCTTTATTATTTTGCTTTCACGAGCACTTAAACAAGAGTGATAATTAAGTTGAATATTTTGTTATTGCTTTTGTAATGTAAAGACATTTTAGTAAACAGTTTTTTGCATCTTATGGAATTTAATCTAGTTTTGCGGCTTGTCAACCCCGTTGCCACCCACAACCAACAACAACCGCGAAACGACTTGGTAATCTTTCCAATACGTTATTTAGGCGTTGCCACGCCCATAAAACTTAGTATAGTAAATATGCAAGTTTTAATTTTTATCGAATTCATGCTTTCAGGCATTTGACGATAATTCACTTGTTCCTTCACAACCACCTCTCCGCGCCACCACATTTCCGTTACTTTGCAATCAATAACAATTATAAAATTAGTGTTTTCGTTGTAACTATCGAAGTTGGAGATACATTCAACTAATGCCTAAGGCGACAAGTTTACATTTTGTAGTTTTTTTTTTTTGTTGCTGTGATATATATGTACATAAGGTAGGGTATAAATTTGCAAGCGTAGTTTGCTTCCTACTAGTTTTTGAGTGCATCTTGATTTAAATTTTTAATTTTTTCTATCGCTAGACACCATAATACATTCAGTCAAAGCAAACCTAAATTTTATATTTAACCAAAAATGATCGTATGGTGGATACCGCATAAATTTAAAAGCATATAATTGTCTAATTAATTTTTATGGGGCGATAATTAAAAAATTTAATCTATCAAATTCAAAATTAACTGGAAATCTAAATCATAGCGTAGTGGAAACTTATTAGTAAAACTTTAGTATACTTAATAATATGCAAGGCAAACTAAAAATCACTTAAAACGACAAAATCGAAAAAAGTTTCAATTAACGCTTGAATCCGGCACAAATATGTATAGACTTCAAAATTAGAAGATGTACGGATGTGAACTCTATTTTCGTGGCTAGTAATCTGGCGTTTAAACGTTTTTAAAAAGTCACGAATTTGGTCACATAACAACGATCTAAACTATTTGTTTAAATTTTTATTGAACTACTATTTTTGTCTTATCTCCACATCCAGGTTTTTATATAAACACTTTTTGATTTTCATTAATTTATTTTCATTTCATGTCAATTCATATCAAATCGTGTCTTACCATTTTTCATTTTATTTATTTTATATTTTTATTTTTAATTTTTTTATGGTTCTCACTAAATAAAATTCTTTTATTATGTTATTTTATTTTTATTTTAAATTTTTTTATTTTAATTTTATTTTTATTTTACATTTTTTTATTTTAATTTTATTTTTTTTATATATTATTTTTATTTTATTTTTTTATATATTATTTTTATTTTATTTTTTTATANATAATCAAATTTTTTTCTTTTATTGTAATTTTTTATTTTATTATAATTTTTTATTTTATTATATTTTTTTGTTTTATTATATTTTTTTGTTTTATTAAATTTTTTTATTTTACTACATTTTTTATTTTATTTCATATTTTTTGTGATTTCATTATTTTATTATTCCTTTTGTATTATTTTAATATTTTTTTTTTATTTTATTATTATAATTTTATTATTTTTTTTCATTATTTTATTTTTTTAATTTTATTATTCTTTTTATATTATTTTTATTTCATTATTCTTTTTTATTATTTTATTATTATTTTATTTTTATTTTTTTATGCTTTTTTGTTGCTTTATTATTCTGCTTTTATTACTTTATTATTATTTTTATAGTACTTTACTTCATATTATTTTTAAGTTACTTTGGTATATAATTTTCTAAATTCTTAAACCTTTTTATTTAATTTTTTACATTACTAAGTTTTTTAAATCTTTTTTATTATTTTATTATATTTTTTATTATTATTTTATTATATTTTTTATTATTATTTTATTATATTTTTTATTATTATTTTATTATATTTTTTATTATTATTTTAATATATTTTATGGTTATTATTATTTTATTACATTTTTTTTCGATATATTTTTTTATTAAATTTTTTTATTTTATTATTTTTTTTATTATTATTTTACTATATTGTTTGAAGTTTATTATATTTTTTATTACTTTTTTATATTCATTTATTATTTTACTTAATTCTTAATTTTTATATACTTTTAGTATTTTTGTATAATATTTTATATCATGTTTTTATAAATGCAAAATTTTCTTTTTTTTTGTATTGGTTTACATTTCACAAATTTAAAAATAATACACGCATACATATGTAGATTAACCAATAAGAATTTGAATACATAAATATAACAACAATAGTTTTTGTATTTACTCGAAATACAGCAGCAAAGTTTTAAAATATATTGGTCGCTTGACTGACACTCTGGCAAGGTTAATTATCACATCTATAGTTAATTTTATTTTTTTTTCTATGCGTATCTACATATAAAAATTCAATAAATTTTACGCACAACAGATGTTAATCCGAAGCTTTCAATTTATGAGTTTTCCCTCAATTTATGTCCCCCCGTCTCCTCACTTGGGCAAACTCATTTACAAAACTACATTTGGAGCAGGAAGTGGGGGACTAGTAAATGTTTGCACTCTCAAGCGCTTAGGCCCTTGTTAACTTCGCCCGGAAAAGCTTATGGGAGAGGAGGCAATCATTAAATCGAGACATTGCATAACCGCCAGCGCTGATGAAATGGAAATGAGGCGCCTTGCCTTAGAGGCATTACTCTCAGCAATAGAGGCAGCACCGAAGCTACTGAAGTGTAGACGACGACATGAAATGCTATAACTACAAAAATAATGTCTAACAACAAAACAAAGTGCTTACAACGAAAGCGACAACAAGAGGTGGGCTGCTGCTGTTAGATCGATTGTGTGCAATGAATGTAGTGGGGGGGCGAGAAACAGGCAAAACTCGAGGCGCACCTCTAATAGATTTCCGGTGCACTAAAAAATTTATTCGACGCACTAACGCAGCGACAATAGTAGCAACAACAACAAAATAGACAAACGAACAGCAGACAGTGGAGTCCATGCATTCGTACATATGTATATAGGTACGCCAGTGTGCGGCTCAAGACCGTAAGCACCAGCGAGCCGACCGAGGTGCTTTGGATATACCTATTTATACGTCTGTAGGTGTGTAGAGGCGAATGAAGCAGAACGTTGCAGGGTTTGTTGCTTGTCTTTCCATCCATCTACATTTATGCTTTTACAACAACAAATGGCCATACCATGTGGCGCTAGCGCTGACGCTAACATTAAATCAGAATAGTTTTTCATGTTGCTTCTTTTTTAATTAGCGGAAACCATTCACGCTGCCAAAGTTGCCAGGTCTCATTTCATAAAACAAATGTTCAGATTTTACGCTTCACTACCTATTGAGATTAGACGTATATTATGTATGTATGTATGCATATATGTATGTGTGCTTGTATTTGTATTTCCAATGCTATTTTAAACTAATGAATAATATATTTTCCTAGCTTTTGTTGTTGCGTGTTTTTAACCGCTTATGTTTGCACCTATATTGCATAACAATGCGTTAATTAGTAATTAATCACTGTATTAGTTAGCTTTATGCATTTAAAGTGAGTATCCAGATGCTAGTTGTTATTTTATTGTTGACAGAATAGAGAAGGGAGTGGCAGCGTTTCCAAGATTTTTAATAGATTAGCCATAAGAGATGTATCGGAAATTCATGAGATCCTCGATAAGCGCAAATACATTTATTTATTTAAGATAAACCAGTTACGAAAGGTGTCGGAAATGCAATTTCGGGAGTAATAAATTATTATATAACCAAGAACTAAAACTTTTCGGTTTATATCTACATCTACATGGATGTATTCCGTGACGGAGTCCGACCAATAACAATACTTCCTATGACTTAGTTACTTTATTTCATATTTTAATTATAATTTCATTTCATTCCTAATTTTAGAGCTGATTATTAGATGATTATCATTGAATTTAAATTAATTTAAATTCGTTTAAATCCATTAATTTATTTCTTATAAAAGTTTATTTTGTATTCCATTTTACTATAATTTATCAAACTTAGTTTTTTTAGTTTATTTAATGCTTTTTTATTTTATTATATTTTATTACATTTACAATATTTCAATATGTTATTTATATTTTTTATTTTATTTTATTTTATTTTATTTTATTTTATTTTATTTTATTTTATTTTATTTTATTTTATTTTATATAATTTTATTTTATTTTATTTTATTTTATTTTATTTTATTTTATTTTATTTTATTTTATTTTATTTTATTTTATTTTATTATATTATATTATATTATATTATATTATATTATATTATATTATATTATATTATATTATATTATATTATATTATATTATATTATATTATATTTTATTATATTTTATTATATTTTATTATATTTTATTATATTTTATTATATTATATTATTTTATATTATATTATATTATTTTATATTATATTATATTTTTTTATTTTAGTTTGCTATTTTAATTAATTTTTTGTTTTATGTTTTACTTAATTTTTGTTTTCTATTTTGCTCAATTTTTGTTTTTATATTACTTATATTTGTTCTCAGTTATATTTATTTAATATTTATTATTTTTTTCATTAATTTTTACTTTTACTTAATTTTACTTTTGCCATGTTCTTATTTTAGATTCCTTTTTTGAGAAGAAGAAATCTGAAAATTCAAACTTCCTCTTTGAACTTTCATTTTTAAAGACGCACGACTAAAATTGTATCTTGTGTAAGCATATTCCCGCTGATACACATTCAAGGGGCGCTACATAATTTCGAAGCTAAATTTAAAGCGTGCCATGTGTCGAGCGGTATGGGATAAATGTGCTTACATGAGAGCATTTCTGAGTCGTGAAGTACTTATGTATATATTTAAATATGTACATAAATGTTTCTTATATGACTTACATCTGGATGTTCTCGCACTGGTACATATACTTTTTCATTCAACTGTACAGCGGCGCCTTCAGGTTCTGGCAGCGTGAGTGGTTCCTTCTTGACGCCATTTATCTGAAATAGTGAGGCACGTACTCTCGCAATTTCTGCAAATGAAGTAAAGAAAAATTATGAATGATTTGAAAAATATTTGGGAAATATTAATGAGTTATAAGAACGTAATTTTATTATTATTTAACGAGCAAATGCTATCAATAATAAAACTTCACACGCACTTGGAAAATAAATAATTCATGATTCATAAGAAAACAAATAGCGCTACACCTATATTGGGGTGGTCGGATGAAAATTTCGTTGTACCACTGAAAAGATTTTGTCCTTTTCTTTGTATTCCGAAATCAGATAACGATTTTGAAAAAAGAAATGGCAAAGTTTATAAAATTGTTTATCTTTCAAAAAAAACTTAAAAATACATTTTTACACACATTTTTTCATGCTTCCTAATTCAAAAATATTTTCACGAAAAATAATATTGATCAAATGGACAATACATGTACATACATACATGCGTGTGCCGAATGACGGAAGCCATATTTCGCTTAATTGAATTATCAAATCTAATAGATTTCTGAACTCTTGACACGCAGCGGCATCAAATTAATTTCGCAGACAATAAGCCAGCAAAAGACTATTAAATTTTTTAAGTGTGTGCGTTATGCTGCCAATAAACCGCTACATATGACCGTAAATTTGTTGTGGATCCATAAACACACGAAGAAACTTATTATACTGTTAAGCTGCATTTTATTTTTTTTTTTTGTTTTGGTAATATTTTATACACGTTTCCATTATAAAGCGACAGTATAGCTGCGCCTTGAGTTATGGGCAAAAATTCAAACTTTAGCTCAATAAACAAGCAACAAGGCAGCGAACAAACACGCCAGCCAACCAAACGACCAACGAAAATCGTGATTGACTGACTGACTGTAATTGGCTTGCAACAATGCGGCGCACTTGGCCAAGAGCGTGCGGCGTCCAAAAACCAAAACACGCCAATGCAAGTTGCCAAAAGAGCCGACAACGACATAAAAACCGTCGGTGCAAGGAAGTCAAGTGGAGGCAAAGAAGGGTAGTAAGACGATTTAACACCTAACAACATAGCCTCCTCCTGCTCCTCGCGTCTTCTTCCTCCTCACTTGTAAATTTAGTTAGATTTTTGGTTGTTAACCGAGTCTTGTAACACATTGTTACAATAAACGCGCAAAACTGTTCATAGCTACTCATAAACTTTAAAACAACTAAATAAGCATAACCGTTATACACACACACACATACATACACTGACTGATATCAAGTTATTATGCATATTCACACATTAATATATCAACAGCTGATGATAGATGCTACTGCAGCTCACTGCAATTAGCACCGACTATAAATAATCACTTTGTATGCTGCTAAAATGTTTTTAAACGTTTTGACCATATTTCACACGCGAAACAAAACAGCCAACGCCAACCCAACGCGAACCCAACTCAATCCTCTCCAAAACGCTTGCTGCCATTCAAATGACGTTTAGTAATAACTAAATGATTATGGTTCGCTAAGTAATTGTTGTTGTTTTTTGTTGTTGTTGCACTGGAGCAATATGTTTATTTTAAAGGCGAACAGGTTAAAATTGAGTTTGGCCATGTTGTGGTCTAATCACGATGACCAAAATGTGTTAATTACGCTCAAGTATTGGGTTGTATTTGTTATTTAGTAGGTCGCAGTGACTATGTGAGGGTTGGATTTCTGAAGACTGATTAGCAAAAGCTGGGTGTGTGACAATGAAGAAAAATTAAAAAAAAAATCATACAAATTAAAATTAAAATTAAAAAAATTAAAAAAAAAATAAAAAAAAAACATAAAATTAAACAAAAATAATAAAAATTAAAAATACTATTAAAATTAAAATTAAAAAAAAAATAATTAAAATTAAAATCAAAACCAAAAATTAAAAAATTAAATAAAGAATTAATTAATTAAAAATAATAATTAATTTAATAAAATTATTTAAATAAAAAATGTTTATTTTAAAAAATTAATTAATTTATTTAAAAAATAATTAATCAAACAAAATGAAAACTCGATGGAGGCTAAAATAGGTTTAATACTCGTATATTAGACACCAGACGGAATATCTGACTTTCACGCAGGAAATAAGATCTACTCATGTTTATGGGAGATAGGAGGCTTGCCTATATGCAAATCAAATTATTGTTTTTTTTTTTGTCAGATATGAGTTTTACTGTTATTATCGCATACATTATTTAAGATTTGACACGATAAATTCCTTAAATATTCGATCGCAATTCCACTGATGGCTCAAAATTAGAGTCTATTATTACATGGCTGGTAGATCTATTGCTGGTTTTGTGTTAGCCAGTCCTCATTCCGAGCTATCGGTCCTAACAAATACTACACACACACATACTATCATAACCGGGCAATATCGCTCCAATGTTTATTTCCTACAAAGCACGGTTTTCCTCATATTAACTTTTGCAAAGGGCCACCTAGAAATATTCCACATATTAAGCAACCATTGAATTGATTCTAGACCCACTTCCCTGATGTTTATTTAGACAAAAATATATCTATACTATAGTCAAAAATTTCATTTAAATCGAACGATATAATAATAAATTTTTTTTTATTTCGAATAGTTCAGTCCCAGTATATAACGGTTTTCAATAGGCTTTTTTTTTTTTTGATAGATAACGGGTGACTCGTGTCAAGCTAACTCTATTGTTTTTTTAAGCTTTCATGTTTTTTTTTTTTTTTTTTTTTTTTTTTTTTTTTTTTTTTTTTTGTTAAATTCCTTTCTTGCTCAATGGGTATGTAAACAAGCAAAAATTACCGCATTTGGAACGAAAAAAAAAAACATGAAGACTTGTATCTTTTATCGTTTGGTGTGGTTTGGGGGCTGTTGGAATCAGCGGTCCATATTTTTTCAAAAATTATGCCGGTGAGAACGTAACCCTCAATGGCGACCGCTATCGCGTCATGATAACCGACAATTTGATGCTATTTGGTTTCAACAAGACGTCGCCACTTCCCACACATCGCATCAATCAATGGTTTTATTGAGAGGACACTTCCGTTATCTGGTTTTGTGCCGATCGGTTGGCCTCCAAGAGCGTGTGATAGTCGTTAAAAGTCCTAAGTCCATGCAGACAAACTCGCTACGATTCACGCCTCGTAGTAAAAGGTCACGCGTGCCATTCGCCAGTTACCAGTCGAAATGCTCGACCGGGTCATCGAAAATTGGACTCAACGGATGGATCATCTGAGACGTTGCCGCGGCCAACAAGTAAAAGAGAAAATCTTCAAAAAAACAACAAAAATGACAAAGAATGTACTTTCGAATTTTAATAAACAGGACCTCGAAATAAATCACCCTTTATAAGAGATCTCTCTAAAAAAAATTGTTTTAAATCAAAAAAAAAAATATATATATATATATACATACATATTCTATATATTCCAGAGAATATACTGAAAAAATAATCATTTCACAAAGGGACTGAGGCTAACAATTTAGTCATCGGCATCAGCATACCGGACAGTATCCACGGACGCAGTACTAATAATCAATGAAATCATACCCCTTCGCTAAAGAGAGGCAAAGAATATGGCAGCAGAAGTCGACAAACACTACATTCGTTATAGCGAAAGCGAGGAAACCCTCACGCAATGGCAGAAAATATGGAATAACGCTACATATGGACGGTGGACCGCTAAAGTACAAAGAGGCAAAAGGCCCAGGCGCGAGATAAATTACTACCTCACGCAAGATGCCTATTTCCGAAAGTACCTACACTGGCTGGGCAAAGTAGACGACCTTCAAGTATGAGGACGACACAGAGCACAGCTTTTTTCGAGAGGTTCTCTCGAAGTAGAGCTACAAAAAATAACAGTGAAAAACAGCGTGGAAACATGGGAACGCATATTACGAGCCATAAGTCGGCAGCTGGAGGCAGGCTCAGCAAAAGGTTAGCTATGAGAAATATAGTAAGCCACACTGAAATAATACGAAAGTGGTTCCAAGAGCTCGGGCATACTTTTTAGTCTCTAGACGATAAAATAGGCATTTTTCTAATCTCACGCGCAAAAAAAAATCAATTTAGTCATCAGAAAATTTTTATACAATTTTTAAGAAACTTTAATGTTTTTTTTTTTATTAATCACATTTATCGCTTTAACTACTATTTCTAAGAAAAATAATTTATACAGTCGCATTAGCGTAATTTATTTGTTTATTTTATTTTATTTCTGCCGTTTTTTTTTTCAATAAATTATTATATGTACTTAATGCAACATAATGGATTTCTTTATCTAATTTGTGCCATTTGTCAAATAACACACACTCACTCACACTTAACCGCTGATATATACGTAAATATGTACGCCGTTAGCTTATTACAATGCAATTGTTAGTATGTAAATGGGTGACAAAATGGCCAACTAGAGGCAATAGACCATTCAGTCAGTTGGCCAGTTAGTCAGCCAGTCAGCCAGTCTGTTAGTCAGTCAGCAGGTTGATTGCCTATTTAGTAGCAAGCAAATGTCGATTGTGAACACAACAACAAAAAAGAAAAAATACATTTCAGTTATTGATTATTACACTCGCGTTTCTAAACATTGCAGGTATGCATTTTGTGTGCATTGTAGATACATCGCATGTGTAAGTGTGTAAGTGTGTCAGTGTGAGAGTGTGTGAGTGTGTGTGTTGGCATTATTCACGATTATTATTCGCTTTTGATGGATGCGCTGCCGTTTTGCTGTTCTAGTCACAAGTGTCGCGCGAATTTCAGTGCACGGCTGACAAGCTGGAATAGATTTCCCGCCACCGCCACCGCTGCCGCCGCCGCACCGGGCTTCATCACAGCAGCTTGCATTGCATCATCATCTCGCATCCACATCATCGGCGCGGGTGACATAAATAGAATATTTGTATGGATGAGTGCATGCAACTACTCGTTGTTGTCATAAATTGGTAATCATATTTTCAAAATTCGTTGAAGTGTCATTTTACACACGTGCCGAACAGCCGGGGGTGGTGATGGTGTTTAGCGAAAAATGGTGATATGCAAACGGGTTG